ATGCCATATATTGATATTCTCTAATATCTTCATGTTAAAAAAAGATTATATTATGTCTTCTTATGACGAATTTTAAGTTTTTTTTTTCTATTTTGGAAATAATTGTTGCATAACTGTGTTATAGAGATTGTGCTGAGTGGTCCAGTTGGTATCCAATTGCTCACAAAGAAGATTACAAAGAGTATGTGATAAATTAAATAACATTACTCTTGGAGTAGCAAACTTTAGGAGAATAGTTTTGACTAAGCACCCCTGGCTGGCTTCATTCATAGTCTTCAGGTCCCAAAGGAAGGGTAGAAAGCAACACCAATGTAAAAAAAAGAACTCACCTTCTTTTTCTTAACAGGCTTGAGAATCTTGATTACACAGCGCTCATTGCTATTGACATTTATGCCTTCAAAAACCTCACTATACTTCCCCCTTCCTACTTTTCGCACAACCTCATAATCATCTTGATCACTGAAAAGAGCATACAGAACATTAATAAACAATAATTGGAATAAAAAAATGTCAAAAAAAATAAAAAAAAGGAGGAAGGTAGGGTGCTTTGGCAATGTTCATAAGTAGTTAACTTTGGAATCCAGAGAACAAATGCCATCAATTAACTTCGAATCACAAGGTAATTCTCAATAGTGGATCAGCTTCTCGGCGTTTATACCACACACAGAAAAGAGCAAGAGCAAGAGATCCAATCAAAATGATATAATTATAACAGAAATGGCATAATTCCAAATCACTCATTAGTTGATATGGAAACTTCAAAAAAAAATGTGACATAAAATTGTTGAACCTACAGGAATTCAAAAAGAAGAACGAATAAAATGACAAAACAGTACCTGAGAAACTAAGCACACACTCTTAGGGAGTGTACTGGATTAGGATTTTAAAAGACTATTTTGGGATAAAAATCTTATAGATTTTAAAAGACTATCTAGAATTGCAGTAACTTTAAAGACTTTTAAAAGACTTTTTTTCAATCAAGATTTTATAAGATTAGATTTTAAAGGATTTTAATAGAATTTATAAGATTTGAAAGGATAATATAGATTTATAAGATTTTAAAAACCATATGAATTTTTAACAATTACAAGAGTCAATAAAAAATAACAAAGAAATGAAATGATATTAATAAAAAAAGTAAAACCTAATATAATTTTCTCAATCAGTAATACATTAAACTCGTGACATAGGAGGCAATCATGATGTTTCATGAATGCATGTTTCTGTTTAGCATTTTATCAAACACCTTGCGGGCATCACAAAGAATGCCCAATCTAAAGTACACTAATAAGAAATTGGTTTCAAGACTGACGTTGGGAAGTAAACCTAGGAGGATACTTTGGGCTTGGCATTGTAAGGCAGCAGAATGCGCCTCGCAACTTCGAAGATAAAAAAATCATATGAATTTTTAACAATTACAAGAGTCAATAAAAAAATAACAAAGAAATGAAATGATATTAATAAAAAAAAGTAAAATCTAATATAATTTTCTCAATCAGTAATACATTAAACTCGTGACATATGAGGCAATCATGATGTTCCATGAATGCATGTTTCTGTTCAGCATTTTATCGAACACCTTGCGGGCATCACGAATAATGCCCAATCTAAAGTACACTAATAAGAAATTGGTTTCAAGACTGACGTTGGGAAGTAAACCTAGGACGATACTTTGGGCTTGGCATTGTATGGCAGCGGAATGCGCCTCGCAACTTCGAAGCAGCAACGACAAGATTTTCCAAGACATGGTTCATCTCTTTAGTTTAACCGCTTTGCCATTATTGAAATTTTGGCCAAAACTTCACAAATTACCATCCACTCCATCCCTTTGCATTGACCGTGATTATTTATTGAATTATTCATATTAATTAATTTTTAATAAATTACAACTATTAGGTATAGAGATCACTGGAGATTACTTTGGCTTTTAAAAAAGGCTAGGGTAGATTGTAAGACACTGCAATGGAGAAATCTCAAGAAATTCCAAGAGTTTGGGAGAGGTATGTTATTTATACTTCTCACAAAAAAGTCTCACAAAATCCACACTAATGGAAAATCCATTAAAATTGTTTTTCCTTTGTTTAAAATCCTGATTGAATACCATCGGATTTGGATGAACTCTATAAAATAATTGAATACCACATTAATTTTTTACAATCCATTAAAATCCTAGAAAACCAATGTTTTTTTTTTTTTTGTCCAAAAACAATCCATTAAAATCTCAATATCAATGTCAATGTTCTTAAGTAGTTAACTTAGGAATCCAGAGAACAAATGCCATCAATTAACTTCGAATCACAAGGAGTGGATCAGCTTCTCTGTGTTTATACCACACACAGAAATGAGCAAGAGCAAGAGATCCAATCAAAAGGATATAATTATAACAGAAATGGCACAATTCCACATCCCTCATTAGTTGATATGGAAACTTAAAAAAAAAAAATATGTGACATGAAATTGTTGAACCTACAGGAATTCAAAAAGAAGAACGAATAAAACGACAAAACAGTACCTGAGAAACTAAGCGCACACACACACACTCTTAGTTCATAACCTAAAATCTCCCTTCATTCTGAATTCAGTTTAATAACCAAATCAAGGCATAACAGAAAGCTCGCAAAACAAACTAGGATGAGAAATCAACAAAACAACAACAGCATCATCAAATATACTAGGGTTGGGAATATTACCCCCATTGAACAGTGAGAGACTCGTAGTCCCAATACTCTTTGGGGCGAAGAACGTTGACATCGGTGTAGACACGCGCCTTCGACATGCCTCGGTGATTCGAACGCAAGATCTGAGCTCTTTGATGGTGGTGGACGATAGTGGTGGAGTTAGTTTCGATGGGGTGGGTGGGGATGCGCACGATAGGGGGTTGCGCAACCGGCGCACGCAAGGCCACAAGGGCGCACACTAGCAAGAAGCGGGGCACAAGTGCGGGTGGTTCGTGCGGATATTTAAGGCGTGTGTAGCGATAATTACACATACTTTTACATTCTCATTTTTATTTTTTTTAAGTCAAAAGAATAATACTCTCTCCGATTTTAGAGTAACTTTTTGTGAAATGGTCTGTGGCTAGGGAATAATTTTCTTTCCTCTCTGCTTCTGCGCTTTGCAAACAAACAATAAAGCTACTTAGTTTATAACATGTAAACCGATTCAAATTTATATAACTATATTATGTCTACAAAATATTTATACGATCGATCATATTAATCATGAAATAAAACTTAAAGCCGTTGAGTTCCCTTTATTTAGTTAGCTTTATGACACAGTATCAGCGAGTTTAAAAAAAAATAAGACGATAAAATACGTAGCGAGCACCTAAAACTTGATAGCAGCTTCACACAAGTGTAAAATGTTTCAACGTGTTTTTCACGTCGGTGGTGCATGGTTGGTTGTATTACGAATTGAAGACCTAAGCACAAATACGAATTGAAGACCTAAAGCACAAATACGAATTGAATACCAACTCCCAAAAGTATTTCTCATGTAACCTTTTTGTGTATAAATTACGGGTTCACTTTTTTTGCAGTTACTGCAGATAAATTACCTACAGTAAGTCCAATACGACATTATTTTGAGGCAGAAATCATGTTATTTTTGTAATTTTAATTTATTCTAAAGTTATTATAATCTTTATAATTATAATTTTTTAATATTTCAATCCCAAAACAACGTCATTTTAGAAATAAATGCAAATAATTTATCTGCAGTAACTGCTGAAATATTTTTGTGCAAACCGTCTACATTTTGGTTAGAACATATACAATTTAATACCTTCAGACTTGGCAATGGAACACGTTTTTGCTCATCTAGACCACACCAAGCCCATATATATATATATATATATATATATATATATATATATATATATAGGTTCAAGATAAGATTATTTTATATCAATATAAGTTTAACTCTCAATTTTATCTGTTGATCTCACTTATATTTAAGAGCTCTAATTTTTTACTAATGTGAGTCATTGGATACAAGTGGATCAATAGTCAAGATTGAGTGTAAGACTTCTAACTCTTACACCAATATAAGTTACACTCAGTCTTGATCATTAATCCACTTGTATCCAATAGCTCACGTTACTAAAAAATTAGAGTCTTTAAATATAAGTGGAATCAATGTTTAAGATTGAGAAAATGTTCATGACCCTATATATATTTATGGGTTCGTTTTTTCTGCAGCTACTGCAGATAAGTTATCTGCAGTAAGCCCAATACGACGTCGTTTTGGACGAAAATCATGGTGTATTTATAATTTTAATTTATTTCAGGGTTATAATAGTCTCTATATTTATAATTTTTTAAGATTTCAATATCAAAACAACGTCGTTTTGGGAATAAATGCAGATAACTTATCTGCATTAACTGTAGAAACATTTTTCCCTATATATATATATATATATATATATATATATATATATAGAGAGAGAGAGAGAGGTAGGATCCTTTGACACCGGTGTCAAATTTCAAGTTTGACACCTGCCGTTAGATCAAAAAAGATCAACGACTCTGATTTGTAAGCATGTGACACCATTGATCTTTTTTGATTTAACGACTCTCAGATGAGGTGTCAAACTTCAAATTTGACACCGGTGTCAAACTTAAAGTTCACACTCTAACCATCATGCATTTATTAATATCTTAAATAAGTTTATAATAATAAATTGTTATCTGAAAATTAATCTAGGTTTTAGGATTTTCCTGAAAATTAAAAGACGTATTGAAGATAAACATTAAACTAGTAAACTACTTGATATGAATAAACGAGAGCTGGAAAGCAAAATTATTTTTGGACTTTATTAACATTTACTATTTAGTTAATGGCATTCTCTAGGTTCAAGGCTATCAAAATTACCACCAGAGCTGAATAAAGAGTTACTTTTTTTATTTTTGACCTCATATTTTTGTTATAATGGGCAAGTATAAGGTAATTTTCATTCTAAAATCTCCTACTCGACCAACTAGACTCTTGGTCTTGGGCCATGTATATTGTAGAAGAACAAGTATCACATATGCATCCTCATCTCCATATCACTTTCAGGAGTCTAGGGCGCAGAGTCTCAAAATTAATAAAATACTAAAATATATATACAAGAGCAACTTCAAACAAAAGAATCAACTAAAACTAGGTGGGTCAAATCATAATATGGAAAAACCTATATCAAGATGGTAAAAATAAAAAGTAAGAAAGAAAGATGTAAAGAAGGAAAAGTGGGTCAAAGGATATGAGGAAAAGTAGAGTTCTCACTACTGTCTCTTCATATTTAAGTTTCCTTTGTTTGCTCAAAGTCAAAAACCTCAAACATCAAACGTCTCACATCACGTTTCCCATAAACAGCATATGAAAGCCCGTGAAGAGCTTGTTGAACAGATGTTGTGGCCGGGTTTCTCAGTCTATAGTTCCGCTCATAGAAGTCTTGAACCTCTTCGGAATATACAATAACATGGTGGAGATTTTTGTCCCTCAAATACCTTCCACAAAACTTGTTCATAAGAAACCGGCGGTGCTTATCTTGTAACCAAAACCCCGGAGCATCTAAATGCTTTATCAACAATCTTTCAGCCATCACCAAATCCTTAACAATATTCCCAAGAAAAAAAGAAAAAAAAAATTACACAGTAAGTAGTGAAGAAAGACAAGCGTAAACTTTAGTATGTTATATAATTCTTTAAAGAAAATATAATGTCATTATATAAATGCAATCAAATAGTGGTGCAGACTGTAAACAACAGAGAGAGTAGTACCTGTATCTTTTGACCAAGGTATTCTAATCTCTCATAGCAAAAACGAGGATGATCAAATTTGTACTTTGATGGATGCAAGAAACATAGCTGAAGTTCAACAAGAAAATCAATAACATGAAAGATCAGAACAGAAGCTAAGAAACCTTCAAGCTGATCTATCAACTTCACATCTTCCAAGGAAGGTTATGTAATAGTACCACATTCCTTACACCATAATATTCTATGTAAAATCATAGTAATTATTGTAAAATATTCTGTTATCATAGATAATATTATTTTAGGCAAGTCAATATTTAGCTAGGTTTATATATTAGAATGAATCTATGTACAGTTTAATTAAGATATATTATTCAATATTTTTCCATTCAACTTGGTATCAAAGCTCCCAATCTTGTAGACTCTGCTTCCGCATATTAACCCTAATTCTAGCTTGCCAGCCGCCTCCATTGCGGCTACCCCTCTCTTGAACCTATGCCCAAGACAGTGCCTTCCTCATGCTCGAGTCACATCTAGCACCCTTGGCCACCGCTGTTCAAAGGTTCAACTTTCAGATGTGTTAACTAAAAGACTTCCTATGGTGAAGTTACAAGATCTTATTGACAAGTTAGGAACGATAAATATCCATTCACTAGCTTGAGATAGAGTATTATGCTAGTCCCACATCAGTCCTGCATCCTTTACCCCATAATTTCTCTATGAAATCATTGTAATTATTGTCAAATATTTTGTTACCATAGATTAGTCATATTTTAAGCAAGTAAATATTTGGCTCGGTCTACATATTAGAATGAACCGATATACATAATCAATTCAAAAATAATATTCAGCATTTTTCCATTCAACTAATATTGGAAATTCAAGTGTAGGTGATGAAGTACCACATTGGTTAGAAATGGGCTAAGTGAGAACCATATAAATTAAGAGACCCATAAACTCATTGCTTAAGGTTTTAGGTCAAAATGTGGTGTCAAGCCCAATATTGAGGCTTCTCACTTAGTCCATTGATGAAAGTCTACCCTACCTATGGGTTCCTCTTGACCGCCTAACAAGTGGTATCAAAAACTAGTTTAATTGGATTGAATATTTAAAAATGGTGGTTGGTGCTCAAGTTTGTGCCCAACTCATGTTGTGGACCATTAGCCAAGACTTGGCTCTTGGTTCCTAATCCCATAAATAAACTAGTTTAATTGGATTGAATATTTAAAAATGGTGGTTGGTGCTCAAGTTTGTGCCCAACTCATGTTGTGGACCATTAGCCAAGACTTGGCTCTTGGTTCCTAATCCCATAAATATTCGGAAAGGCTTATGCTTAAGAGAGAGCATAGCAATGTTGGGACTCACACTTGAGTGAAAAATGTTGGAAATTCAAGTGAGTAAAGAAATCTCACCTTGGTTAGGTATAGACTAAATGAGAATCATATAAATGAAAAAATTCATAAACTTATTGCCTTCGGACTTTGGGTTCAAAATGTGGTGTCAAACCCACTATTGTGGTTTGTCACTTAGCCCACTCATGGAGGTCTCCCCAACTTATGGGCTCCATCGATTGCCTAACAATAGAAAGATCTAGTAATATTCAAGAATGTCGTAAAATACATTCTTAATTAAACTATAATATGGTTAATATTTGGGTGGTTTTAAGGTATGCCTTTGTCGTAATGAGGTGAATTGTGCATAGATAAATCAAATACATTATAGCAATATCAAAAACGGATTTTAAAAAATCCAGAAATGATCCACATGGCAGTAATAATTCATTATCAATTGTGTTGTACCGATCCATCAGTCTTTTTCATTCTTTTTATATTTAGCTTTCCTAAATTCCATAGAATTGCTAGCAAGTATCACTACAGGATTAATAAAAGCTGCACTTCTTACAAACTTTAACCCTCGTTAAACAGATTCAAGGGCATATAAATGTGAATACTGAAGCCCAAGTAGGGAGCAGTAAAAACACAGTTATTTCTTGTTCAGAGACGCATCAAAGGTATACCCAACCCTAACCCTGGTAAGTGGTAAGTGAAGCCAGTGGGGTGTATGCAATAGCCTGCCTGATAGGCAAAAGAAAAAGCAGAATGAGAGGCAATATTAAAGCTACCTGTAACCCAAGTCCAAGCTCTAGGTTCCTGCCTTCAGTAATTTCTGGAATTCTATCTGTCATTTCTAACGGATATCCAAGGGTTTGCATAACCTGGGATTTGCTATCATAATCCCATATATTTCCTCTAAACTGATGCATGCCTGGGGGAACACAAGCTCTGAACAGCCGTGGTTGAGCAAACAGGGCATCTGCAGGAGGCTGAATGCAGAACAATAAACATCATTGTTGTTCCCCTAATAATAAGATAAGCAACATATGTAGTAGGGCAGGAATTTTTATCCACATTTGGCAATAGAGCAGAAAAACATGTTCGAAATTATAACGAAGCTAGACTAAGTTAGATAACCATAGTATGCACAAAATATGTAGATAAATTTATGTGCTAACTTTTTTAAACAAATAATACTATAACAGAGAAATGTAGAGCTTGCCTTATACGCAATCATATCTTGCCAGCTTAGCTTGCCTTCAAATTCAGCAGATATCACATCTATATCTTCGTGTTGCCTACGCAATTCGGGTTGACAATCCTCTGCTTCCGGATCCATTCCAAAGACTTCAAAAAGAAGACGATACACTTCTGGCATCCCAAAACACAGATAGATTGCCCCAAACAAAGCCCAAAATACAGACCTGCCAATATAATAATAAACGTAGAAATTATGTGAACAATAGATTTTAGAAACAACTCCATTGATCCCCATTGATTAAGATGGTTCTACAATAAATTGATTAAAAATATATCATCCCGGGGGCTCAGTCAGCAATTTTTGTCTTTTCTTTCCTAGATCCCCCTTTGACAGTAAACCGCTGATATTTAATTATCCAATTCGTGATTCATAAAAGCTTGATCTTTAAAGGAAGCTGGCATCAGATGCAAAGGTCATCAATCTCAGAAATACTTACGATATCACAAACTCATGGCTCACATTCTGGAGGACTAATTAGACACATGGAAAAACACAATTTTGAGCCAGAGAGCTGGCCACAATTTACAAGGATCTAAGTCCGAATCTCGCAGGTAGTAATTCTATTCGAAACAAAATAACATCAACATAATTTTAAAATCCGATTTCTCCCATTGTTCAAAAGAATACCAAGAAAGGGCGGAATAAATTAGCAACTTAAAACGCCATGTTTGAACCCAATTAATCCATTCAATTTGGCCAGTCAGGTAACCAATTCCACCCGACGTGAGAAGAAAATAGCTAATACATGATAGCAAACCTCCCACTAGAATATGGGCATATTCACATTTTTAAAAATTTCAACTTTTATTTGTTTCATTTCCTTGAACATGGGCATATTGTAAATAACGGCATTCTAGCAGCTGGATGGACTACACAGTTCTTAACATCAACAACTTTACACATGACAGTAACAAAATTCAGTGTAGAAACATCATCACTATCCCTCTAAGAACAACTTAACTAAACTAACAACGCATAGAGCTTACTTTACCGGGGGTTCCCTTTCCTTCCTCACCAACTTATCCATATCATCGTAAGGGAATATCAAATTCTGCAAGCTAGCGGCTTTAATCCACGTGGGCAAGTACCTCTTCCCAATCAAACCGAACACCCTCTCTCTCATTGGACCCGGCGACTCCCTCGGATACCTCTGCAAGAAAAACTCCGAGAAAGCCAATTCAAGCACGTACTGCCCCAGAAAGAACAACCTCGAATGCCCCCACTTCACGTGCCGCGCAATCATCCTCTCACTGGAAGGGTGCTGAAACGCCAAGTACAACAAAGTATCGAGCTGTTTCGCGGGGTTATCGTCACCGAGCGTCTCCGAGGGTTCAAGTGGGTACCCCAGAGCTTGTTTCGCTTCGAGAAGGTGCTCTTCCATCCATGTCTTATCGGCATTGTTGAGCGGCGAGGTTGGTAGGCATGAACTCAACAAGGGGAACGAGTTGAGGGAAAGTTGGGGGCTGTTGAGGAACCTTTTTGCTACTCTTTTGTCGTCTAGTGGAGGGGTGAGAATGAACCTTCTAGGTGGTGATCTTTTCTTTGAAGAAGTGGGTCTCTTGGTTTCAGTGAGCTCCTTGAGAAGTCGCTGTGGAGTGCTCCTCGGAAGTTCTTGCGGAGGCGGCGGGTCAATGGCTACGGCGAAAATGCGGAGAGTTTGGGAAGTGGGGTTTGGGGTTTTGGTGAAGACTTGAATTGGGTTGGGAGAGAAGGAGGATGAGAAAGAGTAGTTATGCGATGAGGATGGGGAAAGTGTGAAGAAGGAAGAAGGAAGTTCCATTTCTTCCCAGATGTTAATTGTTGGGAGAAATTTTTTCAAATGAGGAGGAGGGGTGGGTGACCACTGACCATTAGCATCCAGAGTGGGAATAAAAAGAAATAACCGCGGGGTTTATCGGGTGACTTGACTTAAGTTGGAACATCGATGAAAGAGTGACTCTCAAATTTTTTAATCAAATATCACGTTAATATTATTTGTTAATCAACTAGTAGAGAATTAAGTTGCGAGGTAGTCTAGTAAAAAGTACTGTTGATGTGATACTTGAATAAAAAATTTGCAAAGAGTGTCACTTTATTCACTGTTTCACTTAAATTAGCCTAGCCTTGATATCGTCTATTTAGTTTACTACATAAGTTAATTTTCGAATTATGCTGTAACGATCAGAAATTAAAAATTAAATAATAAAAATAACGAAGTCGTCACTAATTTTATTTAATTTAGAAAAAAATAGAAAACTTTTATTTTAGCAAATTGGTCTTTGAATCAAGATTCGGGAGTCTGATTATGCATAGGGAAGGGTGAAAATAAATCTATTAAAAAAACGGTTACCTTAAAATAGTTGTGCAAATTTTAATAATTTTAGAATATTTGTTTAATCTAAACAAAACAAAATGGATAATAAAAATATTTACAAGAAAAGAAAAGAAAATTATAAAAGCTTTATTTTTAACTTGACTGAGAGATTTTGCTCCGACGTATCTTTTATTGCATTGAAGAACTCAAAACTACGTCATTCTATAAAATAGCTTCTTATGTTTTTGTTAAATTTAAAACTTTTGAAAGTTATCTTACAAGATATAAGATAGCATGACTATACGTATATCCTTATGAAGCATATGACACTTAAGGGTAGCCAACACACAATCAATGTCGTATATCATCTCATGAATCAACATAAGTTTAAAATAAATTTAGAGTAAACACCCTTTTTAGTCCCTGTCAATATCTACGAAGTCCTTTTTAGTCCCTGGCAATAAAAAAGGACCAAATTGGTCCCTGAAATTATTAAAAAAGGGTCATGTTAGTCCTTATGTCAACTCCCAAATATGTAGAGTGGCCCTTTTCTTGTACTTTCAGGGACCAATTTGGTCCTTTTTTATTGCCAGGGACTAAAAATAGTGTTTACTCATAAATTTATTAGAACATAATTTTGAAAATAATTGATTTCAAACAAGTCCACATTGCACAGAGCCCAAGATAGCACGGCTATACAAAGAGTCTTACGATATGGACGCTTGAGGATAGCAAGCCATACAATCAACGTTGTCGATCGTCGCGTGAGACAGAAGAAAGCTAAAACAAAATTTTAAAACGTATTTGGACTGACCATAAAGAATTTGATAAAAATATTTTGTTTTGAAAATTAAATCCACATTGTACAAATAACAGAATCCAAGATAGCGTTGCTATACCAAGACTCTTACGATATAGACAATGCTTGAGGATGGCAAGCCATACAATCAACACTATCAATCGTCGTGGAGATTAAAATTTTCTTTAGAAATTATTAAAAATGTAAATATTAAAAATATCTACATTTCATAATAAGACAAAGACAAAATTAATCACATTAGACGAAATGGCACGTTGATACATGATAATATCCTTTCAAATCTAAACAAAATGTTCTAACCAAGTTACTTACAAATAATATAAACATAAATTTAACAACCTCTTCATCATTTTTAGAAATAGAGAATGAAATCTACCACAAATAAAACACCACTCTCTTATTTCTTTATTTTTTTTATTTATATACATTAATTCCTAATACTTTCTAAAGTTAAACTATTTTTAATGAAACAATAACAAGTTAAGTCTAAACCAAAAATGACAGCCTTTTTCCTTGGGTTTGCTTAAAGTAGTATAACATGTTAATTTAAATCAATTTCTCCAACAACATTAAGGACAAGTTAAATACGAAACAGAAACGGAATGAGTCAGATTAAGAACATAAACCAATTTAAAATATGTAATTCTATTAAAACGTAAATGACACATCAATATGAAATATAGACAAAACACAAAATATATCTTCTTCTTCTTTTTGTAAGCAAACACAAATTATATCTTAAAGCAAACAATAAAACTCTAATCCCTCCTAATTAATCTGACAACACATAAGAAAATTTTAATTGCATAAAATAATAAAAGTTCTACATGCTAGTCCTGCACTAGGCTATCCACTCAAGTGCTTCCAATTGCATCTCCATTGCAAGAAACAAAACCAAAGCTTTGTGCAAGGTTTCAAATCTTGTTAACCGTAAAAGTCATGGAGCCAAAGTAGACAAAATATACATATTACCCCCTTCCTTTTCTATTACTTTATTATTTTCCCCTAATCTGACGACTTTTTGTATAAAGGGGCTAAAGCCCCAAAGCAAACAGAAAAGGAAAAAACAAACAAAAAACAGAAGCAAAGAAATTAACACAGAAGTAAACTAGCAGCATCTCCTGGGTCCATAATGTCAGCCGACAGCAGGGGCAGCAGCCTCTGATCAGGCGAGGAGAAAAAAGAAGGACCATAAGGTGAGTTTAGAGCTTCCTTCGCCAACCAATCTGCATACAGATTGCAGGATCTGGGGACATAAGCAAACGATACAATCCAATCCTTCTTCAAGAAATCCCATATCTTAGCCACCAACGGAAGCTTACGGGAATCATTACCATTCTTGGTAAGAGAGCTTATCGCTTGTAAAGAGTCACTTTCCACTTCAATCCTTCTAAAGCCTTTGAACCAAACAAAGGATAAACCATGAAGGATGGCCATAATTCTGCTACAAAAGGAGAGCAAGACCCCAGGAAAAATGTGAAACCTCCCATCCAGATGCCTTTCGAGTCTCTGACAAGACCTCCACAAGCAGCCTTGGCCCCCTCAACAGCCCCATCAATATTAAGTTTCACAGCACCTTCCTTTGGCAGAGACCAAGAAGAGGCTGCAGCCGATAGAGACTCACAGGTAGGACCAAAAAGATTGTACTTTCTAGATGAAATGACACCCTCTAAATAGTTTCTTATTAAATCAGCAGCATTACCAGGGCGAATAAAGTCTACCTCATGCACAGTAGCATTCCTCCAACTCCAAAGAAAATTACAGCCAAGAAAGAAAAAATCTCTCCAATCCAAATGATTTTTGGATGAAAATTTTAGATTCAAGTTAATCCAATCAACAAAATTCTGCATATCAAAGAAACCAGGGTGAAGAGGTTGCAGTAGCTGAAGATTCCACAGATCGGTAGCTACTTTGCAGTCTCTAAAAATATGTAAACTTGATTCTACTTTGTCTGAGCAGCTAGAACATCTGTCAGTGCTGCTACCCCAGTGAGCAATTCTCTCTCTAGTAAGCAATCTGTCATGAGCCAACTTCCAAAGCAGAAATTTAATTCTTTCTGGTCCTTTCCATTTCCATATTCTAGTCCACAATCTATTGGTAGGAAGATCCTTCAAGCCCATTAGATTACTATAAGCAAGCTTGACAAGGGAGGAACCAGGATTCCAGTTACTCCTGAAAAGATAATCATCACCTCCTGCCTGACCAGGGGGAGAAATAGCAAGGATGAGATTGGAGACCCTCATATCAAAGTGAAGCCTTATAAGGGGGGCATTTCATGTACCTTCCTGTTGGAGAGCATAATCACTTACTTTTTTATCCAAATCTTCCAAGGTAGGAGGAGAGATAGCCACTGTGAGTATATTCTCCTTTGATCCAGACCATGAGTCAGTCCAGAAATTAACCTTGGTACCGTCACCAATCTGCCAGCATAGCCCTTCCAGGACCTTCGTCCAGATTTTACACAAGCCCTTCCAATAGTGGGAATCATAAGATTTGCAGCTAGCTTCTTTAGTAAGGTCTTTTTTCCTACCATACTTGGCTACCAGCACCCTCACCCAAAGTTGCTCGGGGGAGTTGAGAAGAGTCCAGGCAGCTTTGTGAAAAAAAGCTTCATTATGCTTTCTGAGGTTGATGAATCCCAGGCCACCAGAATCCTTGGGTAGGGATAGCTGCTTCCATGAGATAAGGTGATGCTTTCTTTTGTCTTCCGTGTCACCCCAGATAAAGTTCCTTTGGAGTTTCTCAATCTCATCACAAATTCCAGCTGGAAGGAGACTGCTTTGCATGTGGAACATAGGAATGGCTGAAATAACTGATTTAGCTAGAGTGACTCTACCCGCCATGGACAAGCATTGTCTTTTCCAGCTCTGAAGTCTATTATGCACTCTGTCCATGATGTCTCCATAGTGATTTTTGGTAACTCTACCATGTTTCATCATGTAGCCCAGGTATCTGCCAAGATTCTTAGTTTGCACAAAGCCACTAATTCTCACAATCTCATTAGCAAGCGTATCAGGGATATTTTTAGAGAAAAAAATATTTGATTGTAGGATACTTACTTTTTTCCCCGAGATGTTACCGAATACAGCTAGGCAGTCCATAATGATTGTGATTTGATCAGTACTAGCTTCTGCAAAAAGCATGAGGTCATCAGCAAATAAGAGGTGAGAGATTTTAGGACCATTTTTCCCTGCTGTCATAGGTTTCCAGGCTTTTTTATCAACTGCATCAGCAATGATATGAGACAGTTTCTCCATACATAAGACAAAAATGTAAGGGGAAATAGGATCCCCTTGTCGGAGACCTCTGCTAGGAGTTAAGGAGCCAGTCTTAGCACCATTCCAAAGGATATCCAGCTCCGTGGAAGAAATGCAGTGCATGATTATATTGATCAGCTGGGTTGGCAGCTTGATTTCCAACAACACTTGGTGAATGAAGCTCCAAGAAAGTCGGTCATAAGCTTTTTCCAGGTCAATCTTTATAGCAAGGCATCCCCTTTCACCTCTCATTCTATTCATAGAATGGACCATCTCTTGGGCAATCACAATATTATCTTGGATATTTCTGTTGGTTACAAAGCTGACTTGATGCGGAGAGATGAGTTTTTGGAGTAAGGGTTTAAGTTTACTAACAATGAGTTTACTTATACCCTTATATAAAACAGAGCAGAGAGCTATTGGCCTGAATTGAGCTATCTTCTCA